TGCGGGCTGGGCCCCCAAGGTCGCCCCGGCACTCACGGCGCTGACGCGGGCCCAGCCCCGCACGGCGGCGATGAGGTCGGGCTCGTCGATGGTCAGGCGGTCGCTGCGCAGCACCGGGACCAGCACCGCCTCCGACAGCTCGTGGAAGCCTCTCGTGCCCACCACGCCCTGCGGCGCCCACCGCCACGTCAGGCTGACCACGGGCCCTGGCCCCGGCCACGCCGAGAGCATCCCCGGCCTCACCTGCCGCAGCCCCCGCGGGGCTAGGCGTCCCCAGCGCCTACCTGGGTGTTGTCCTCGATGAAGGCCAAGCAGCGCTGCTGCAAATCCACCTGCCCGCAGGTCACAGCTGCCTGCCGGGGGGGCACAGCACGATGGAAGTGGGGGCTGCGGGTCGGGAGCAGGGCAGGGGGGCTGCCGGCACCCCCCCAGCCCTGCCGGTGCCCCTCACTCCCCTGCCGCAGCACCCCAAAGCCCTGCCATGGGAAGGTATGGGATCAAGACCCCCTCCCTCCTCGCAGGCCGGCAGCTGGGGACCCCTGGCAGCCTGTGGCCGGCTAGGGGGGGGCCGGGAGTACTTACCTGCAGGGCCTCGCAGGCCGTCTCCACGCTGAGCGTGCCTATCACGAACTCCACGCACAGCTGCGGGCACAGATGGGCCACACTGGGGGTTGCAGCCGGCGGGGGCCCCCCCCCCCCCGGGCAAGGATGGCGAGGCACGGGGAAGCCCTGGCACTGAAAGGGTTACAGTGCAGGGCAGGGGGAGCCCAGGCAGGAAACACCCAGCTCCCCGGGCCCCGCGCCAGGCCCAGAATAGCTGCGGGTGACGCATCTGGCGCTGGGGAGGGGTTCCCCTGACACCTGGACTCACCCCCGCAGTCACATGGCCCCGGTGACTGTTGCTAGGGAAGCCCACACACGTGTCACCGCAGGGGGGCTGCAGGGTCGGGTGGGGGGGGCACCGGCAGCTAGCTTCACTGCCTCGGGCACTTGCCACGTGGCCTGGGCCCCATACTGCTGCCCGGAAGGGTGATCCTCCTTCCAGGTGGGCACCATAGCCTTGGTAAGGAAAGTGAGGCTGCATCTCTGCCTCCACATGGGCTCCCCCCACCCCAGCCCCCGCGTGATGCCCACCCCCACCCAAGGAGGCTTCCCATGTGCTGGGCTCACGTCAGCGTGACTCGGCCACGTCAGCGTGACTCAGAGTCGAGCCGCCCGCGGGACCCAGGTGCCCTGGCAGCCGGCCCACGGCTCCAGGAGTCGGCGCTGAGCGCCCCACAGCCCTGCGCCCCCAGGTAGTGCTAGAGAGGGTCAGCAGAGGGAGAGGGGAAACTGAGGCAGGGCAATGGGGGCTTGGAGGGGAGCCAGGCGTGGCGGTACCCACCTTCCAGATGGAGACAGCCTCACCCTAACCCTAACCCTAACCCTAACCCTCCTCCAGTGTCCCACCGTGCCTTGGCCATGGGGGATGCCAGCCTCCATGGCCCCGTTACCTGCCGCAGGTCGTCCAGCCCGTACTCCACGGACGAGGCCAGCACCTCCAGGGCCTGTGGGCAGAGACACCCCATGACCCCCATGCAAGGGCCTGTGCCCGCGACCCCCCAGCTCCCAGCAGGCGAGCCCGCCGGGGCCTGGAGCCATCCCGGGCTCCCTGCCCCAGGCTGCGAGAGCGCAGCCCCCTGCCCCGATGGGCCCCGGGACCACCAGGAAGGGCAGAGCCTGCCCCTGCCCCACCGCAGCCCCATCCTGGAGACTCCCGCAGCTGCCCAGGGGCTTTCCCGGGCTCTGGAAAAGCCCCGTCTGCCCAGAACCGGGCACCCAGGGCTGCCCCTGCCCGGGCCATCTGCATAGCCGAGACCCCCTGTCCCAAGGTGCTGGAGCCAGGCATGGGGGTCCTGCCAGCCGGCTGGCAGCACCAGTAGGTTATTATCCCCCTCCCCGGCAAACAGGCTGGATCGTGCCCGGCGCCGCGGCACTCACGGTGACGCTGGTGAGGTGCACGCGGTTGGTGTACAGGAACTCGAGCACGGCCAGGAAGGCTTCGGGCTGGGTGCTGCTGAGGGCGATGGGGGCCGGTGCCGGGGCCCCAGGGGCTGGCGGGGGGCTGTCCAGGAGCCCCCGGAGCCCGGGGCAGCGGCAGGAGAGGATGCAGCGGTGAGCAAACACCTCGCGCCTCTCCCGGCCCACGAGGAAGGTCACGTCACTGCGGGGACATGGTGAGAGCCCCCTGCACCGTGGCGCGGAGGATCCCGAAGCTGGCAGGGAGCTGCGGGGTCACATCCAGTCCAAGCCCTGCCCAAAGCAGGATCAGCCCCGTCCAAACCCACCCAGACAAACCCCACGTCCGAGCTCCGAGCAACACGACGCAGCCCCAGGCATCGCCCCCACGCCGGCCCCCAGGCCCCTCCCTGGGCTCCCAGACTAGTCGAGGGGATTTGGGAGCCAAGAAGCTCCGCGCTGGGTGCCCGTGGGTCCTGCGACCTGGGGCTCGCGATGCCCAGGGCTGCCTGTGCACTCAGAGCCCTCGGCCCCGCATGCAGCCACCTCTGGGGTGCAACCGTGGCAGCAGGGCCGGGGGGCTCTGGGGGGTATTGGGGGGCACTGGTGCAGGGGGGGCT